CAGAGACCTGAGCACATTACAGGACGTATGTGCTAGTACTTCCTGTAAAGGACCCAAGCAGCAGCACTACAGCTACAAGTTAGAATATATACAATTTATACCTTTGTACTGTATTTCCTTACCCAACCTCTTGTTCATAGCCTAAATTCATTTTATATTTACTGTATTTTAAAATTTCATATGTAAATCTGTATTTGTGTAATTTGACAACAAAAGTCTTGTTTTTTTAGAATGCATGGGGAACATATATTAACATTTTTATCCTTTATCTTGAAAATATCCATGTTTTTGTGAATGTAAATTGCCAGTTATGCTTCATGGTCAAGAGGAAGAAGCATTATACAACAGTCAGAAGAACAAACAGCTTAAGAGCTCCTTACTTACTTACTTAATAGAAACTTAAGGGCTGATTATTATGCACTCAAAGAAGAGGGCAACTGACTGAAATACTGTTACTTCTTGATAACATGACAATAACAACTGATAACAACAACTGATAATATCAACAACATGATAATATCAACAACTGTTATGTGTGGTTCGTACTAATCTTTGTAGATCTGCTGCCTCCAACAACTCTGTCCAAAGTGTGTTAAATAAACTGATTATATTCCTGTGTGTGCATACAAATGTAGCCAGAATTACAATGCCTTTTTCAACAAACTTTTCTGCCCTAACTGTTGTCACTCTATTGTCTATTTGATTATTATTTGAACAATACAGAAATTTGATGAGTTAAAAATGCAGTAAGGTGTTTCCATTTCACTTGTACATTGTGCACTTGACATTTACAATGAATGTCGGCCTACACTTATTTGTTTTACTAAATACACAAGGCTTATCAGATCATTGCTTCTCAGTTCTCTCAGTCAGTTTGTTTGACCATTTCTTAGGGAAGTTATGGTTATACATAGTTATGGTTATTAGACATCCACTGAGCTGTGTCTGTCGCTTTACTTGTCTAAACACTTGGTCATTGGATCATCCACAGCTTTGTTAGGTCTCCATGCTGTTCCCGAGTGGGGTCCGCTGGCCTGCCTCCACTGGCATTTACCAAAGTAGCTGTATTGCCCCCACAGATTCTGTGATTGTACAGACCGACAGTTCCGAGATTGACTTCAGCTGAACCTGTCATTTCTTCTGCATTCTCCATGTTTACAAACCAAAAGATCCCTCCTAAAACATGCTAGTTTACGCTTGTTAGCACTTAGTTTCCCTCCCCACAATGTAGGGATAATGTTTGTGCAATGAAGCCCTTTTCCTAACAGTATAAACATTCATTTAACAAATTAAAGGGGTTATCATCTATTTTTCTTAGTCAACTCATTACAAATTGCAATTAAGCAATACAAGCACAATACAAATAAAATGTTATTCATGTAAGCCCCAGAGCTCCTCATAAAATCAGTGAATAGCTAACCACAGGCTGAACTTGAATGCTTTTTTTTAAGGTATCTTCTACATGTGCACCTTCAGTATGCTGCTTGAGTGCTGGAGGCCTGCAGTGGGTGACCGGAGGTCAGTGCATAATAAAAGTGTGAGTTTTACATATTTATCACTGCATTGTGGTAGTTAAATTTGTCATTTGTGTGTAGATTTACATGTACTTGCTGTAAAAATAGTCTTGTAGGAAAATAACACACCAAAACAAAACACATATAACTTCAATTCAAACACTATTATTAATTTATAGTAAATAAATATGAATGATTTATTTTGACAGAACAATGTGAACTATATTCTAATGTACATCATAGTTTAAAGTTCCCTTTATTTTTTTATTGTTCTTCTCTTAGTGGAGCTGTTAAAACCAAAATAGTTCTCTTTTATGGTACAAGCATGAAACTTTGCCAGATTACTAACACCAACAGGGCTAATATTTCTGGATACGGAACAAAGTCTAATTTAACACTGGAGCTGAGAACTGCACATGGCTGGCATAAAAAATACTGCATAATCCCTTTCTTAAAGTCTAATTTGCTTAATTATAAATTTTGTAATGTTTAACAACAATTTTTTCTAAACTCCAAAGCATCACATGACTGTTTTACTCCAGAATATTAGGGTTCTGTGTGTTCTCTGTGGTTGAGTTAATCAGATATTTAATCTTTTAGTGCCATATTTACTGGGTTTTTTGATAAATACCAGGACAGCACATATGCAAGGGATGCTGTCAAGTAATAAAACTAGGAATTTTGCATGTTGTGGTGGTAAATTTTGTCATTTGTATGTGGATTTACATGTACTTGCATGTAGGAAAATAGGAGGAAAATAACATCAAAAACAAAACACAAACACTTCAGTTCAAACACTATTATTAATTCATATTTAATAACAATTAATTATTAATTTTGACAGAAGAACATGCACTATATTTTAATGCTCCTTTGTGCCATGCCACTGGATAGTGTCTGATGGCGCAGGAGGAGCTCTAACAGAGCATGCACAGAGACCAGAAGTGAAAGGTCCCTATTTAAAACCAAATGAACTATTTGTTCAAAAGCAGGAGTGCAAATCACTACTGCTCTTTGGCTCATGAGGATCATAATGCATTAAGGTGTTGTGTGAATGAATGATTTTACATCACTATGTTTCAGTAAAGTCAACAGTCTACTGATCCCAACTATCAAAGCAACAACAGTAAAAACATCTATAATCAGTAATCTGGTGAAAATAAAGTTTGTGTGAGTCTATGTACTTCAAAACTCCAGATGTAATTCATGTTCTCTTTCCTGTTTGGAGCATTCCAGGCTGTAGAGATTGTTAAGGCCAGACACTGCCACAGAAGAAACTAGACTTGGCCTGTAAATTTTTTGGAGGAGGGTGGAGCTCCGGTGCAGTACATACGCGGGATGTGGAATGGCTTCATTTGCTACATGTGCATGATTACACATCTGCATGTGTGGCGCAGTACAGCGGAGATGCATGATGCGGAATCAGCTCGTTAGTCCTAACACAAACTATGCATTTTGCCCATTTGAAAGTCTTTAACTGTAATTATTTGTTCAAATAACACAATCCAATATGCTGATTGAATTCCAGTAGCCTATACAAAGTTTTTTAACAATCTCACTTCATCTCCATCATGGAGAGGCGTCTTTTCAGCACTATGGCCCTCGTCTATGGAACTGCCTGCCGGAGGAGCTCAGGGCTGCAGAGAACGTTCATGTTTTTAAGAGTAGGCTCAAGACCCACCTTTTTAGCTTAGCTTTTGATTGAAATCTTATACTTTTACTTGTTTTTATTGTACACATTTTACTATATTTATTTATCTTAGGCATATTTTTTTAGGATTTCCAGAGCCTCTGCATCGGGAGTGGAGGTCAGCTGTGGCTGCTGGGTCTGTCATGTGGGCTCCTGGTGGAGGGATGGTGCTTGGGCCTCAGGTGCCTGGGCTTCAATCTCTCCCCTGGACCCTGTGGTGGTTCCTGGTGGTGGTGGACGTCTCTCTGCTCCCGGTGCAGACGGCTCCCTCTGATGGTGCTTTCTCAACTGGTTCGCCTGTATTCAGCCTCAACATTTTATTGTGTCCGGTTATGTATTTTAGGTGTGTGGAGTGTGAGTGTGTTGTGTGTGTGTGTGTGCATGTTTGTGTGTATGTGAGTAAAGTTCTGGGCAATTTTTTAGGTATTTGTTCTGGCAGTATAAGAATTGAGTCATAGAAGGTTGAATTTAGAATTCTAAAGACTCATTACAGACAAAAACTAATTACTTAACTGTTGAATTCTTTTATTTATTGCAGCACATGTTTTTTTTGTTTTTTTTTACAATAACATTAATATAACGTTAATCAATTAGTTTGGGATTCAGGAGCTAATGGTGAACCTGGTTTGGAACTCAAAAGTTTAGACACTTGTTTAATGTAATTTTATCAGTTCTGCTGATATCTTGAATATTGTATTAGCACAAAAAAAGAGTATTTTAAAAGTGCTATGAATGGGTGAGTATTTGACTCAGTAAAAGTAAAATCAGTTAAATAAATGATGGTTTATGTAACCATTTTTGTCTTTCATCTCTTTTTATCCTGATTCGGCCACACATTATATACATAATGAATGTTTTTTTGTGTCATTTTGACACTCAAATGAAGAGATATACTGTTTTCAATATGCAATAGGCGAGACCAACACTCCAAGAACCCCTTCACTTAAGTAGGAAAATAAATCTCTTTACTATATTGTCATTTAGGCCAATTCATATTTTTGTATCTGTGATACCGATGTCCAGAATCCTCACGAGGTTACGGGGTGTTACCTGTCACAGCAGATGAAGGCGCGCGATGACGCACGCTTTGCTCAAGGCGCAAAGCTCGCAGTCAGACAGAAGATCAACTAAAAACCTAAAAAGGATCAATAATGATTTAGGAGTTTGGTTATTTTCATGAATAAGGGCTAAAGGATTGGAATTATACCTGGTCATGGAGGATAGAGCGGCTTACACAGGGACCCAGAAATGCGTGGGTCCCTTATAAACTCTACAGGCTAATAAGTGGATAACAACAGAGCTGTGTACTATACAGTTATGGTGAGTTCAACTTCAAGTCAAAGTGCGTCCGAGGAACAGTTTTTAGGGAGTAATATGTCTTCTCTTCAGCAGGACCCTTGTTCCAAGCAAGTAATGAAGCATGAAGCTGAAGTGAGTGCATCTATCTGCGGTGAAATTCTGTGGCTCTTGTGTTGAGCCTTTTCACTGTATTTGTTTTTTCTTCCAATCTTCGAATCCTGTGTGGTTTGTTATATGTTGTTCTGAGCGGTCCGTCCTCCGCGCACATGCTTCTCAGGCCAAAACATCTAACATCATCATACCCTGAGCATAGGAGCTCATCCCAGAAGTTTACAGGCATTATTGTTCCTGCCTAAACCTCCCTAGATCAGCCGTGGCCTGTAACACAGACTGAGTAAATGGATCAATCATCATTTCATCAGCATCAAAGCTTTGTAGATTTCCACCAGACTTAGACTGATGTCACAATATAGAAAATGATAATATTTATAAAAATGTATTGTTAAAGCATTTATTATATGGATTATTATACAATACATCTGCAACACTGAGTCATCATTACACACACACATAATATAATTATTGTCAACATTTGATACCTGCATATTTCAGCACATTAGCAACATTAATGAACATATTATGTCATTTAAAAGATATACTATGAGACTTTTCTGGTGGAGAGTCCATCATCAGCTTGGAGATGTCACTTTGCTGAATGTTCCATAGTACCTGATTCTCCGCATAGACACAAGCAGATGTTGCCACCAGTTACAGGTCAAATCTACGGTGAGGCAAGCCCCTCACAATAAGAACGCACATTTTTCAAGATAATTTTGGGTAATAAAACTACTGTAATTAAATAAATGCAAGACAGACAAGTTTTATGCCACACTGAAATATTTCTGGCAAAGCTGTAATATCTCCATGGAAACAAGCAGGTAACATACCCACCACCAGAAAAGTTACATAGTGCACTTTTAAAGAAGTACAATTGCTCTATAACTGTAATAACAAAGCTACTCCTCACTGATCTCACTTATTAAGGTACATCTAAAAGTTTTAAGCAATATGGTTCTGTGTGATCAAGATGTTTTTTGTACAAAATAACCTTATTTTATTATTTGACCACAAGCACTTTTCCTGTTTTACTTTATTATATTGTCCTCTACTGGTTAGTATGTGTTTTGGGTTTAAATTTAACTTGAGCATATACACATTCTGCTTCCTTGTTGATAATGATTTGTCTGTTTTCTCCCACAATATTCCTCTGCTCTTTCAGGTAGGAGCTGCCTGAGGGATCTGCATCACTTCTGGCCTCTTGCTCCGTCCTCTTGATGCTTTTTTTCATCCTGTTCACAGAGTAAACCCCACTGTCTTGGTTCTCTGGCAACTGCTCTGTGGTCTCTGGAGAAGACTGGCGCTTATTATGCCGGACAATCAGGGTTCTGAAAGCACCAAAATAGAGATTAAAGGTCCTGTATTACACAGAATTGAACCTTGAGAGCTTTTAGCCACGTGATAATGTTGTTACCTCATCAAAAATACACCTAGAGTTGTGTTGTTTCATTCACACACGTTTGAGTAATTCTTTATTAGTAGTCTCTTTACTTCAAAGCTCAAAAATGCTCTGTTCCACCTTGTTATATCACGTAATGGTAGTTTTCATGTCATCAGCTCCTTTTACCTTTAGTTCAATCGAGACTGGCAATTCCAGAGATGAAATGATCCAAATGATTCTAGTGAAGATGTATGGATTTTAAAAACACAGTGGAGCAAAGTGGAGTTAGCACATGAGATCACAAGGTGGAACAGAGTGTTTTCAGTTTGAGAGAAGAACTCAGTCTAAATGTATGTTAAACATGTGTGAAAGAAACAAAACACAACTCCAGGTATGTTTGTGATGAGGAAACATAACAGAAAATTGAGTAATATAGGCCCTTTAACGCATGTACAACAATGCTTCTAAGGGACTGCATACATTTTTGATTGTAGTTTTGAAATACATCCAGGACAAAACAAGTGATTTCCTCTTCTGGCGTCAGGTTGTAGCACCAGATTTTTGCTCTGCTTTTAGCTTGGTTATCTGTTTAACACATGAGCAAACGCTTACGATAAATGAGACCCTGTGTTTCGTTGGTGTTACTGCTTGTGGTTTTTGTTGCAATGTTTGTTGTTTTAAATGTGCTATATAAACAAATTTGCCTGGGCACAATTTGACTATGTGTGCTAAATGGAAAAAAGCCACACCCTCAGTACCTGATCACACAGAAAAGCACCAACACCAGCACCATCAGAATGAACGTTGACGCGATTAACAATGGAGTGACCACATCTTCTTGTCCTAAAAGTCATTAGAAAAACAAAACTAAGTTAGGACATAAGGAATGTTTGGGGAAAACAAGCATTTATATTTATAGGTTAACATTATTTTACAAACAAAAAGCATGTACTGCAAGATGAAAACAACCAAATATGTCAGCCTGTTGATACCAGAAAAAAATCAAATACCCTTTTGCTTTTCAGGAGATTTAAGCACATGTTCAAATCTTTGTCTGTCAGATCCCAGAGAGTTTCTGCTGTGACAAACCAAAGTGACTGGATCTCTCCACTGTGGGTTAATAACAGTGAGGACGCTTCTTATAGCTTTGTCACTCAGAGGCTCACTGATGATGGAGATGTTTGGAGAGAGTCCTGGGAAACTCCACTGTATCAGGGGAATGGGGTTCCCCTCAGTCTCACACACACACCTCATCTTGACTGAGTCTATAGTGCAGTTTGAAGAGCTCACAATCTGTGGAGGGACTATAAGTGATAAAATAAATATTCATGGAAATGAATGGAATGTAAAAATACAATGCATGTAATGTATTAAATGACTGAAAACACATACAGAGTACATTCAGCTCAGCTACAGTAGAGTTCTCAGTCCCAACTTCATTCTGAGCCTGACAGAAAATAGCAGTAGTATCTCTGGAGGCTTTCATGTTTAAAACAGGTGAGTTTCCGATCAGAATGTGAGTTCCTCCATCAGTTTTATACCAGTGGTAGTGCTGTACAGCTGGGTTGGCATCACTGCTGCAGCTCACTGACATATTACTGTGTTCTGTCACAGGACCAGAGGGACTCACTGTCACTCTGGTGTTTCTGGGTTGATCTGAGTAGGATGATAGAAAAAAATCAGGCATAATCCATATTTCTTTCTCAGTTTTTCACAACCATAGCTTATATTCACTTTAACATAAACAAATATCATATTACATTTTGTATTAGCAGCACTGATATTGCTCAGAAAAAAATTTAATTGCCTTTTAAAATGATTTTAATTGTAAATACTTTACAACAGGTAACATACATGTAATATCAACAGTGATTTGTGCACTAGGAGACAACACATGTGTGTCATTTTCCCTGCTGTAGACTGCAGAGCATGATAGATTTGTCTTATAGTCAGAAGCAGTGAAGGTGAGAGTGGACACTTTGACAAAGGTCTTGTCCAGTTGCTCCTGCAGAGTCTCCTGAATGTCCCCCAGGACAGGGCTCCATGTCAGAGTGGGAGGGAGAGACAGACACGGGACAGGAACAGAGCACTGCACACTCACTGACTGCCCCTCACTCACACTCACAGAGGACGGAGTCAGTGTAGGGGTGGGCGGAGCTTCTGGAAGAAAAAACTTAGTAAGGTAAAATAATTACATACCTAATATTGTAAAATAATGAATGCTGCAGAGACCATTCACTTTAATATTCATTGTTTTATCTTTAAATGTCCATTTTAGAGGATTGGCACAGTCCAGTCTGAAGTAAACTTCTTTCCCCTGGTCCTCAGTGATGTTATACACTGTTGTGGTGCAGTTCTTCTGGGTTAAGTCTTCTGTTCTTGGTCTTGTGAATGTTACTGGTGTCTGTTTAGAGCTGGTATCTCTCCATTCTGATCTACATTTATTGTTCAGGTTTGTAATATACTCATCCCTGATTGTAAAGGAGCAGGGTATTCTCAAACAGGATCCACGCACAGCCTCCACTCGTTCTGGCAGAGTGACACTAAAGACATTACAATGGGCACCTATACAAACAAGTCATAAAGATAGCACAAGCTGAAATGAAATAATTTGATCAAACTATTGCACATATTGTATTGCTTTAATAATCAAGCTGTTCTTAGCAACCACTCACTGTGCAGCAGGAAGCCCACAAGGAGAACATTTGTCAGAGCAGACATCTGATTTAACAGAAACAAAATATAATCAACATCTATTCAGTGGTGCATGTACAGTTAAATACAGATACACATTTTTTTTTTTTACCTACTTAACTGTGAGCCCCATTGAGGCTCAGAATCCCAAAGAATAGCCAAATGTTGAACCAATTGAGATTTTATTATATTAAATACTGAACAGCTATATTCTGACACTGTTGTGATGGAGGCAAAGCAGCTATCAGGTTCTTCCGTTGCACTTTGGATAACCTTTTTTTAATTGTCTCTCTTGCTCCACATTTATCATGTCTAGCCACAAGCAGAGTTTTTGGTACTCCACCCTGAGCTCTGTTGGCCTTAGCTGGGTGGCAGTGTGAAATTCTTTTATTAGATTTTCTAATATTATTTTCTTATTGGAGTCATGAAGGGATTTTCTTCAATTTAAAGGACCTATATTATGTCATTTCCTGATGTATGTTACAATGTTGTTTCCTCATCAAAAACATACCTCAAGTTATGTTTTATTTCAGTCACACATGTTTAACTCACAAACCCTGCATATTTAGGCTGAGATCTTTTCTCAAATGGAAAACACTCTGCTCCACCTTGTGATATCATTCATCCATTTTCTCCAGCTTTATCTGGGGCCGGGTCACAGAGGCAGCAGTCTGAGAAGGAAGGGACAGACTTCCCTTTCCACTCAGTTCTTTCAGTTTTTCAGGGGGAACCCAGAAGCCTTCCCAGGTCAGCTCAGAGACATAGTCCCTCCAGTGTGTCCTGGGTTCCTGTGGCCTCCTTCCAGTGGGGCGTGCCCGGAACACCTCCCCAGGGAGGCATCCAAGAGGCATCCCGAAAAGATGCCCAGGCCACTTCGACTGGCTCCTCTAGACATGTAGGGGCAGCGGCTCTACTCTAGGCTCCTCCCGTATGACTGCGCTCCTCACTCTATTTCTAAGGGAACACCCAGCCATATTACCATGACTGAGACAGAAGCGGAGACAGACGCTACAAACTTTAAGCTTACTCTGCACAGTGCAGCATCTCCTAAGCATACTCGACTCGTTTTCTCCTCACAAAACAAGCACATTTCAAACTAAACCCTGCTATAGCCAAAGAGCAAAAGCTTGAAGCTTCCCACTGCACAAGTTCATAAGTGCACCAGGGACCAGGATTTGTCCCATTCCAAGTAGAGGGAGATGCTGCATTGTGCCTCAGGCGCTTTTATGAGGATCGAGGCTTACGGCTTAGCTGGAGTTTTTCCTCTGAAAAAAAAAAAAGTTTCCAAAACTGCTCAGTGTGTGCGCCAGGTAGTCACAAGTGCAAAAGCAGCCAACCACTGGGAATTAAGCAGGGCCACATCAAGGCTTATGGTGATCCATTTTGTTGGAGTCTCACCAAACGGCACATTTAAACACCACTAGATCCAATCCAGTAAAAAACCAAACAAAAAAAAACCAAACATAAATCAAAGGAACCCTCGAGATAACATAAGAGGGAAAAAATATATATACAATTCAAAATTATCTTGTGGCCATGAGATATTATCTTGAGCCAGTGAGATCGTCTTGACTTAAAGATGGTTCTGCATTAAAAATATTGGCCAAACAGGCCAAGGGAAGGACTGATGTCACAGGCTTTCTTGTATCCTACTTAAACTAACTATTCACATTCATCACAAAGTAAAAAATAAACTTACCTTATCTTCTAAAATGTGACAGGGTTCAAAATGACAGCATTGGCCTTGTACGCTCTGCTTTCATCTCCATCACAGTGACTCAGTTTGACAAGTCATATTTGTGACAGAAGGATGTGGAAACTGAAGTCTGAGTCAGACTCTAGCCTCCCACCACACCTCTGCACAGGACTCGCATGCAAATAACAACAAAGGTCATACTGAGGCAAGTGTTTTACTACATGTGTCAGTGGTGCAGCCAGTTAATGATTCCAAAGACTATGCAAATTGGTAAACAGACAAAGACATGGGGGGAAAAAAGTCACGCCCCGTGTGTCATGGTGCAATATGACTGGACTATAGGAATGCTTCTGTTATCAGACATTAAAATGTGGTGACTAATAGGTTATTTGTGGAAATTATTTACATTGACAATTATGCATATGTGGCAACCGAAGGGTTCAACACTCCGGAAAATGTTAAGTTTTATAATAAGTTGCTGCAACAACGCCACCCCAAATCTAGTTTGGGCAAATAAAGTCTAAATGTAAGGCACACAGGTAAGCATATCATCGAGGGAGAGGGAGCCAGGTTCCATCTTTTACAAAATCTTTATTTCTTTCTATTTTAAAAGACAGATTTAAGTTGTTTAAAAGTAGCTACATCCATAAAAATAGGCAAACAGTAAAACACTACAGTGGGAGAACAAGTACACAATATTGAAAATACAAAACAAAACCCCAAAACCCGAAGAAAAACTAAAGTAAAAACAGCAGTGAAACAAAACAAACAAAACAATGAAGCAAAACTAAAGCAAAACAAAATAAAGCAAAACAAAACAGCTAAACAAACGTAAAACAAAACAGAACACAGCAAAACAGCAAACAAACGTAAAGCAAAGATAAAACAAAACAGCAGAGGCGGTGTGCTCACGCCGCTGCAGGCCCCCGCTGACACCTAGAAAATTAAATTCTGGGATTAAATTCTGAGCCTGCAGTGCAAGGATCTGGGCTAAACACATACCGTGGTTGGAAGTGACAGTGCGCAATCCCCAAACTGAATCAAAGGCAACTCTACACAGAAGAGAGTGGTTTGGCACAGGTAGCACGTGATAGTAGGGTTTTGGTTACCTGCCGCCGCGGTTTAAGGGACACGGCGGCGCACAGCCGAGCGCAATGGCGAGGGACTCACTCGGCTCACCCGTGGAGCTAAAGGGAGACACCGGTAAGAGTATGGGCATGGATGAATGAGTGGAGGAGTATCGGGCGTGCATTACCTTATCAGCGGAGATGAGAACGCACCCTAGGTGCTCCGTGATTCGGAGGAGCGAGGGACTGATGTGGTGAGAAGCACCGGCCAAACAGCGGCCAAACAGCAGCCAAGCAGCGGCACTAAAAGGAAACGTGATCGGAAATTTGGATGTAACGGGCATGGAATTTATGAAGTGGAAGTTACCTGAGCTGGAGGACAGAGCGGCCACAAGGTGTGAGCCAAAAGGGGGAACGACTGAGAAGGGAGCGCTTAAACAGCCCACCAGCGCAGCGCCACGGAACGCCAGGTAAGAGCACCCGCAGCCTAGACCCTCAAAGCCGGTCTTGCCACACATAAGTAAAGCTGCACCAGGTGGGTTTTCTTTTAAACTGTAACGCCTCTCTTTCCCATGTTATAATGAACAATCACAATAGGCCCTATGCCATTCTTGGCGCTCAGGCCTAATTACATGAATTTCACTAAGCGTCAGTCAGCATTGCCGAAAAGTAAAAAAAAAAACAAAAAAAAAAACTGAGCGTTGTGTCAAGAGAGGTAACCAATTAGAAAAAGTGGGTTGACAGAAAAAATGTTTGAGAACCGCTGGGCAATCGATGTCTTCAGCATAGAGCACTGTTGCTGTTGTGCCTTGTCTCTGCCCATGGGTGAAAACATTCTGCTTCATTCAATGGCAGTAGATACAAATTGTCAGTGATCTTCTGAGCTAATTGATCTTCTCTTCATATTCATAAAATATCAAGAACCAGCCATCAGAACTACTGGAAAACACCTTCTCAGGGACATCTGAAATCACTACCAAACTGCTACCACGGATAAATGGGATGTTTTAGAGAAAATAATAGCTCATTAACACTAGTTTCCCTCTGCCCTAGTGAATGGTTCCACACTGAACGTCTTAAAGAATACAAACTCAGTTTCTTCTTAACCAATAAACGATGTAAACATGTGACTATGTGTTTGATTATTGGATTGATGTTCACAGACATTAGAAACTAGCCCAAGTGAACTGTAGCTTATGATAAACAAACTCACAGAAATGCACATAATGTTGTTTAAACCACTAAACTGTACAATGTAGACTGCAAATATTTCATTTAACTATATGAACTCCAACTAAATAAATAATGGAGCTATCCTTACATCCACAAATAACACGAAGTAGAAATCGGCTGCCTGTTTATTAGAGCACATTGCACACTTAAGAACACACGAGTCACACAGTGTTTTCATATTTTACTTATTTATATTTAGATCATCAGGTTATTTATCATAAAACATGAGGATTAACAGGTGTTTGATATGAAAATACATGCATCCTACATGATTAGCACTGGGGTCTGGTCGGTCCTTTAAAAACAGTTATTCTTCTGTGACTTGTCTGAAGCCAAACCAGAGGTCCATTATGTCAGTTCTGTTGTTAAAGTGCATACAACAGATTTTTATGATTCTCTAAATTTGACTTAATTTGGTGGGATTATAACTATTGTAAATATAAATGATAGTTTTACTACAGTTGAAAAATATGTTGAAAATTAGAGGAAGTAGAGAATTCCACTATTCGAGAAACACACTTTTTTCAGATACTTTAAATATTAATTCAACAGAAAATAAAGGTGTTTTCTTATATTTTTAAGTGGTCAGATAATAATTTCTGTGTAGATGAAAGAAGTTTTTCTAGGGAACAGTTATGAATTCCCTAGTGTAATGTCACAATTTCTCACATTAAGAATTCATGTTTTTCAAGGTCATTTTGAGAAAAAAATACTCCTTTGTATGTAAGATAGATACATTTTATGCCACACTGAAACAGTTGTTGTAAAGCAATAATATATCCATGGCAAAAAGCCAGTAGCCCCCATTAGAAAAGTTACATAGTACTATAACTATAACAATACTACTAACTTCTATTTGCCTTTTTATTAGTATTTTAAAGTAGTACGCTGTGCAGCATCTTTGAGCGTATAGAAAAGTGCAATGCAAATAAAACAGATTATTATTATGATTACTTTTTAGAGATAGGTTACTGACCACATGAAAAAACCAAGCTACTCTACGCTACCACGGATCTCATTCATTCATTTTTTCTCTTGGTCCTCTGGTGACTGTTGTTTGGTCTCTCTGGAGAAGATAGACGACTCTTATTATGCCGAACAATCAGGATTCTGAAAACACAAAATTTACATGAACACAATAAACAACAATTGTTGAAATTCTTCAGGGATGTAGATGTAATTCCCTGTAGCCAGGAACCGTTTAAATGTGTCATGGCCATGGATCTCTCGGTTTATACCAACGTCCATCACATCACGTTTGTGACAGAACTGAATTTGATTTGAATATGGTTGATCGGAGCCATACTTTTTCTACAGAAGGTGGTGTGTGTTTAGTCTCTCTACTTTGCTTTTTATACAAGCAAAAATAGTTTGCAAATGTTGAGTGAAATACATAGTTTTTTTTTTTTGTCAAATAATGTCATGCAGGACAGTCAGTGTAGATATGGAGGCTCTGAACAGCTTTTCCATGACAGAGGTATGACGGACAGAGACTGTTATCAATCTAAACAGGAAGCTACTAGAAGCTCAAAATAACTCAAAAACTGAATTGTTATTTAGTCAAACACTGATACCTACTGATACCATGCACAAGGAAAGTTTCAGTCACTCTGAACAGCTTTTCCATGACAGACGTATGACGGACAGAGACTGTTATCAATCTAAACAGGAAGCTACTAGAAGCTCAAAATAACTCAAAAACTGAATTCTTATTTAATCGAGCACTGATACCCACTGATACCATGCACAAGGAAAGTTTCAGACACTTACCAGACATCTTTCAGGTGTTAGATTTCTTAAAGTCCATTATATTGGACTTGTATGCTAATCGCAAATGCTAAAGACTTGTTAGCATTTAATGAGTATCTCGCTGCAAAGAAGCCAAATTTGCATTTTTAAATGCAGCAGTACTTTGGTATGATGGAATTTGTTATTCTACAAAGACTTGCACCACAGCTGACAGTAAAAATTGGGACAGCACAGATATTTGAGCAGTTTATGCATATTTTATTTGGAGTTGACATTTGACATTTGGAGTAGAACCAGTAAGGCTGACGGTGGCATATAGGTCACATGTCTAAAATCTTGTTAGGGTATTGCTATTTGAAGCAATCTTATGAGTTGGCCAGTTTTTGATGCAACAGCAATAAATTCTCTGCAGCCCAAAAACATTTTCCCCATGGAATGCAGTGTATACACAGAAATAAAATGGAAAAACTGAGATGCTAATCCATAACAACTGTGAGTGGTAAGAAGTACCTGATCATACAGAGAAGCACCAACACCAGCACCATCAGAATGACAGTTGATGCGATTAACAATGGAGTGACCACATCTTCTTGTCCTAAAAGTCATTAGAAAAACAAAACTAAGTTAGGACATAAGGAATGTTTGGAGCACAAAAACATTTTATATTTATAGATACTGAACCTGATTTATTTTATCAGTTATATGTTATATTATGACACCACAAGAAAAACTACCATCACCAGAAACAACTAACCATTCTGCTTTTCAGGAGAGTTATGCACAATTTCAAAGGTCTGTGTGTCAGATCCCACAGAGTTGTTGCTGTGACAGACCAAAGTGACTGGATCTCTCCACTGAGGTTTAATAACAGTGAGGACACTTCTTAGAGTTTTGTCACTCAGAGGCTCACTGATGATGAAGTGGTTGGAGGATGTTTGAGGGAAACTCCACTGTATCAGGGGAATGGGGTTCCCCTCAGTCTCACACACACAGCTTATCTTGACTGAGTCTCCAGAGCAGTTTGAAGAGCTCACGATCTGTGGAGG